ATAATGTCCAAAAACAGTACCACGTTTTCAAAGTGCTGTCTAACCAACGATCTAAAACCTAAAGATAATAAAGAGATAAAACACGACTGAAAAGCTAAACCTTTTAAACAATTATTTCATTAGCTCAACAGTTTCTGTCTGATTTATTGATCGACTAATTATTCCAGCTGCAGCAATAACCTGATTACAGGGATATGGACAACCACAGCATGTTGACATTGACATATGCCAAGTGTTATTAGCTGAGAACATCTTTAAAACGTAAAGCGCTCTGCCAGAACTTCTACCTTCAAAATATCTGACCTCGTAGAAGACTTAGTGTTTGTGTATGTGTCAGTTCAAGTGCTGCTTTGTTTGCATGTTAATGTGTAGGAGTAAGAAATGAGGAGAAACACTGCAGAAACTGTTCACATGCAAATACAATCCCCTGTTTGGCCAATCACAGCGCTTTAAGCCAACAAGCTGACGCCAAAGTTACTCGTTTTTCAGATATTTTAAAGGAACAGCAACAGAAAATCATCATATCGAGCTTCACTGACTTGTTACTAACACTTTTTAGGTTGCTTCTGGGTCATTTTTAATGTTACAAATGCAAACAATAAAACAATTTTGCTGATATATAATGCTGTAGCAGATGTTTCCGCAGCTTTACCATGAACTCCTGATCTATTCCTTCTGTCTTGTTCCCCCCCGTTAGCCTGTAAACTACATTATACAAAAGGCAGGGAGGAACCATGACGGCTGCATGTCCCTAATTGATCCGGAGCAGCATCAGCGAGAGTCTGCAGCCGACACAGAGTGACCCGGCGGCCCGCTCTGCTCAGTCTCTGTCTGCATTACACAGTTTAACCTAATAGTCCAACACGTTCTCTCTCACGCTCGCAGATAAAGCAGCGCCCGGTGCTGGCTGGCAGGTGGTGTGCAGATAATGCTGTCTCATTAGAGCGGCGCACTAAAGCACTCAGGGCTGGCCAGGAAATCCACTTAGCAGAGCCGGGAGCAGGACGGCGGGGAGGACCTGACGGACTGGGAATTGTGGAAGCAGAAAGGGGGGAGCGATTGTGTCTGCACATGTGTTCCTGAAAGTCACGTGACACCATTGATCCTAAAGGGGACTTCGTTTTTTTCCAGAGTTTTTACTGGGTCGCCCGAAAAGCCGCCACACTTTGCATTTAAGGGTAAAAACACCTGAGGGGGTGGGAGGAGATCCGCGGTCTAGACCTCTGCTATTATCTGCTCTTTGCACTTCCTCTCAGTCACCTAACCAGTCACTGAACATGCCAACAACTTAACACGACGCGACACAAAACACAACCTCCTCGAACAGTCGATCACTCATTTGGCAGAAACAACACTTCTGATATTCTAAATCATTTTTAAACCAAAACACAAACTCTTCTTCACTTCCTGATGCTGTTTCTTTGTCTCATGTGATAATAAACTGAATATCTTCTGATTTATAACTCTTTTTTTTTTTGAAGCCGAGTTATCCGAGGTCATCACTTTGGATGTGAGGACATACGTTCAAAAGGGGAACTTCTGCCATCCCCTGACGTTTTAATTGGGCTGAATGAGTAATCAGACGCAGTGGAAAACTATCGCATGTGCAATAACTTTCTATGCTTGTAAAATATGGCCTCATATACATCAAACCACATCGCAGACTCTCTTGCTTGTCTGACAAACCTTCACAGTGGCAGGTAAATTATTCAACACCTGTACAAACATGCATGCGGCAAGTCTGAAATGAAGCTCAAGTCACTAAAAGGTACATGGAGATGTAACCAATGAATATTTTCAAGTTTCCTGATTGGTTTCTCCTGAACAGTTTCTTTATAGCGCTGATAAAACACCAGAAAAACAAAAATAAAAAAGCACAACAACCCAAACAACACATCTGAGAAGCTGGAGTCATTAAACATTGGGTCTTTTGTTTGCTGCAGCTCTAAAAGAGTCTTTTGAGAAGCACTTTCTTGCCTCCAGTTAGACGTTAGAAGATCAATACAGTCTGTATGCAAAGTATGAAGCTACATGATTGTTAGCTTAGCTTAGCATACAGACTTGAAGTTAAGGAAAACAGATAATCTCTCTTTCAAAAACACACCCCTCTAAAGCCTGAATATCAACTTATGTTATATATTTTTTTTGTTTATTCTGTACAAAACTAGCAATGTAAAGAAAAAAATGTGGGTTATAATGTATTTACTATATTTAACCAACGTCAGTCATGTCCTGTAACTTCTGACACAATTTGCAATTTAGCTGCAGTGAGTCCCCACCTATTTTTATAATGAACTAATTGGTTTGAGGATTTTTTTCAGGAAGTAAAAAGTCAAAATTCTCAGATTCTAGCTGCCTAAATGTGAATATTTTTCTGGTTTCTGTACGTCTTTACTTCCATCTTTTTGTGTTGTGTAGAAAATAAGACATTTGTTCATGCTGAGCTTCAGGGAAAACATTTTTTGATTATTTTATTCATTAATCAATTAGCTTTTTGGGTAATGAAATGTCAGAAAAGGTGCAAATTTTCACAACACATTTACTCTACAGACATGAATCATATTGATCTTCTCTTCAAACTCCATCCATCTATCATCTATACACCGCTTAATCCTCACTACGGTTGCGAGGAGGGCTGGAGTCTATCCCAGCTGACTCAGGGTGAAGGCAGGTTCACCTGGACAGGTAACCAGTCTATCACAGGGCTACACTTAGAGACAGACAACCAAGCACACTCACATTCACACCTACGGACAATTTAGAATCACCAATTAACCTCAATATGTTTCTGGACTGTGTGGGAGGAAGCTGGAGAACCCGGAGAGAAGCCACGCTGCACGGGGAGAACATGGAGACTCCACGCAGGAAGATCCCGGGTGTCCTCACCGGGACATGAACCAGCGACCTTCTAGCTGCGAGGCGACGGTACTAACCACTGAGCCACCTTGCAGCTCCTCTTCAAACTCTTCACAAGAAATTTGAAGCATTTCTTAAAGCCCAGTCCATCAAAAGCTGGAGTGGACAAATCAGTGTGTCAGCCTGCAAACAGTGAGTCAGTTTACAAACCGTTAGTCTGCCACAAACACTGAGTGACTCAACTACTCAGTGAGCCCATCGGTCTTCAGGCACTCACTGGAATTGATCCACAGCGGCCTCCAAAAGTATGTTAAAAGCGAAGTGAAACTGATGTTTTAAAACAGGGGTGTCAAACTGCGGTCCTCGAGGGCCACAGTCCTGCATGTTTTAGATGCTTCCCTCTTCCAACACACCTGATTCAAATGATCAGGATCGTTATCAGACTTCTGCAGAGCTTGATGATGAGCTGATCATTTGAATCAGGTGTGTTGGAAGAGGGAAACATCTAAAACATGCAGGACTGCGGCCCTCGAGGACCGCAGTTTGACACCCCTGTTTTAGAGGCCTTCAAATAAGAGGTCTTGTCAGTCAGTCACCGCTCCTGCAGGATTCAGGTCTAATTAATAGACAGAAGCTTTAAAAAAACACACACTCTGGAATGAATGAATGGACCTCAGCCACCATCTGATTGTTTCGAGTCTGCAAACGAGCCAAAATCTTTCCCCCACAGTAGCACACGAGAAAATACAAACACTCAAAGTATGCATTGGGTGTGAGGGGATGTGCACGAAACCACAGAAATTCCCTCAATAAGTACAAACGCTCCCTTCTGTCTCCATCACACAAATAAAAATCTTGCGTGTTAAGATATGTACGAGAGGCTTTGTGTGACGAGGCCCCTGCAGCCGTTCACATGAGTGGACGTGAGATAAAAGCTCGTCGGATTTTACAGAGAGGAAACTAATGTGGACGGCAAGTCGAGTGCAAAACGAAGGGGAAGCGAAAGAGGAGGGGGAGGAGAGAAAGAAACAGTACAGAGCACAAGACAATATAGATAATATACGCTGCCCTGTTGTCTTCTGCATGAACAGCATCTGTGTACACACTGTCAAAGGTTGGTTAAATGAATCTATAGTCCCGTGTTAATCCATTTACGACCATGTGACCTCTGATGATATACTGACCATCGGCTAAAAGGGGACAGCATTAAAGAGACGAAAGGCAGGAGCAAGAAGAAAAGTAGAAAAAGCAGATCTTCACATCGATCCAGGATGCACTCGCTCAACTTGTGGAAAAGGAGACAAAAAATAACCAGATGTACACCAAGGAGTAAATGCCAAAAAAAGCACATTATCCCAAATCTCCCCCTAAAAAGCCCATTGTGAGCGTAATCTGCCCGCCACAGGGAATCCATATCAATCAATGATTCATCAACAGATCTATTTCCAGCCCCCCTCCCCACTGACTCACCCCCGTGTGGTGACAACACAGTGACTCAAATTCAACCTCTGCTTCACTCCGTAACAATGACACACTATTTCCTCAATACGGCACAAACTGTCAGCCTACTCTCACATCCACTTTACCGGCAAGTTTAGTCCAGTGAACTGAGAAAATGCAAGAGAGTCCCTTTAGGCAGCAGATTTCCCTCCTGTCTCTGTCCTGTTTCAGCAACAGCAGCTTAACGCGTCCACCGAGCAGCATTTTGTCCTGATATGGAAATCCAGCACAGTCAGAACAATGTGTGGACTTTTCTCAATGCTTCATCTGGCATATGGGTTAAAACATCCTCTGTGATGATGTCAAGAAAACTTTCACCAGCTTGCTCTTGTGTTCCTTTTGCTTGAAAGTAACTGAGGAGGAACAGGTGAATTGGGTAGTAAGGTGGAATTTGGATTAATTTTAGTGGTAAGAATGTATGCCGAATTGAAGAGTGGTTCACAATCATGTGAGAAATATCATAAATAATTAAGTATCATCATTACATATATGCTGACAACCCAACGCAGCCTTAAAATCACCTTTTCATAATGTACTCTGGCGTTGTCTCCTGGCTTTGTTGACATTGCAAATCGTAGTTTTTTTGGACAAAACAGCAGCAAAGAAGTAAGAGAATGACATTTATTTTTCCATCGTCTACTGACCATATCATAGACGTTTAGGATGATCGGCTCGTTTGCCATCACGGGCATCAGGATCTTCTCCCCCTACGTCCCTTCGTCTCTGCGGGTCTTCCTCCTCCTTCCGTCGGTGCGAGATCCAAACTCTCGCCCTCCCAAAAATAGACCGTCCTCCCCTCGTCGCTGGCACTTTCACGACAGGCGATCAGCTTGATAGTTGGATTTCACAACCAGGTGTAAAATCGTTGGAGCTCCGAGGTTATTTTTACCGTCCAACATCTGACTGGCTTTGTCCGAATCCCCCCCTCCTCCTGACGGAGCAGCGGCGGACAGATGAGCCCGTCGCTTGTCAAAACCGACTGACTTGCTAAACCCGTTCGGCTACGGAGGTCGAAGTGAAAACGCTGACTTTACAGCGGGAATTTTGTCTTCCAGGAGGCGTGCTGGCCCGGAAAAAACTCAAATTCATTTTCCCTAAAGAGCTACCCAATAAATGACATAATGCTGAGCTGTCGGGAGGTCGTTGACTCGGTAAAAAAAAGGACTTGCTACTCCCTTATTAGCTAGCTAACGGTAGCGGTGGAGCTGCTGCGGGCAGGATGCGACTGTTGGGAGAGAATTGGACGGTGAGAGTGGGCGAACGGAGCGATGAGTCCGCGCTCGACTCATCAAGCCTGAAACGCCCTGAGCATCATGGGGGATGTAGTTTGTTTATCGAAAGTGCCCAAGCAGATGAACACTTTTACAGGTGTGTTGTGCACGTTATCAGACAGGAAACAATAAGCATAAATGCAATAACAAGACAGAAAACAGAATAAAAATATATGAATTCAAATTAATATTAAAGAACAATACAGAAAACAGGATAAAAATCAATTTGCAAGACGAAATAAATGTAAATATGACGTACTAAAAAAAACAAGACAAAACAGGAAAGAAAACAAAATAAAAGTTTACACAATCTGTTCGTACAATAAAGCAAAAATAAATATAAAATACTAAATACGAAGCAAAAAAGCAGGATAAAAAAAATCATTTGTAAAACTAAATAAATACAAACATAAAGTATGAAAAAAATTAACAGAAACCAGAATAAAAACGTATTAATCAATTGATCAATAAAATACAATAATTATAATGAAGTATTATTTCTATCACTTTTCATCTTCATTGGAAAATAAAAGCTTTTCTAAAGCTATGGTGCTGCCACCACAAAGGATCAGTCTGTCTTATCCACAGGACTGAAGGTTTCCTCTGAGATATTTTAAGCATCAAACACATATTTCCTGCATTCTGGTGATGTTTCTTTGTGTGTGTATCAATATCTGTACCAATTTATGGTGGAAATGTCTGTAAAGGTCACAAAGTTCAGAGAAAATTAGTAAATTATTTGCTTCTTTCTTGTTTTAGGTTGTAGGGGAAGAAAAGCACAAGTTCTAAATATGGAGTGTTGATGGTGGAACATTTAAAAGCGGTTCTGAGGATCTAAGAGGCCTTGAAGTGCAGAGACGGAAAAGTTCTGAAATGTACCTCAAAGTAAATCAAAAGAGGCAGCCCCATGTAGCCGAAAGTATGTAGGCAGACCTTGATCTATATCTAATCTGGTCATTCTTGTTGATTAATCATAGCGACTGGACTTGTTTGAGTTCCTTGAAGACGTTCCACCTCTCATCCAGGAGGCTTCATCAGCTCTGACTGACTAGTTGGGAGTTCCAGATACTCCTATTCTAAAGGAGCCATTAACACCTGAGTTTAGGTTTCAATTGGGGATTTGTTGCTTCTTCCTCTCATTATGTGAGTCATTAGTGCTCCCCCTGTTACAAAGGGGTTCGTTAGGGTCTTTTGTGGCTGGGTGTGAATTCATCTTCCTGGGAGAGATCTTAAGACTGAATTGTGAACAGGTGAGAGGTGATGCCTCAGACCTCCACCTCTGTTGAGTGATGATCTTTCCAGTTTGACGTAGATGGCATCCACCCAGAAACAATAGACAAAAAACATTCAGACAGCAAAACATTCATCTGATCATGTAGACAGAATTCACTCTCATTCAGCAAGGATGTGACGGAGCTCTTCTTCTCAGAGGTATCTCAAAAAAGGCCCCAAATTTTACCGAACATTCTCTTCAGCCGTATAAGAGATCATCTCATTTATCCATCGACTGTCTGAGTGTCACAATAAATCTCTGAGCTGTGATTAAACCAGGCAGACGGACATCCTGATCAGCAGCGGAAAGAAAAAGGGTTTGTTCTGATCTTCCACGAGATAATTCCCTGTCAAAGATAAAAAAAGAAAACCAGTGAAAAATGTCCTGACATACATGAAAAGGCCAAGAAGAGACGAGCCGTCTGCAATCATACATCCATCACACGCTGATGAGACGCAGAGATGCATTTAATTTCTGTCTGAAGTCGTGGAAATGATGAATTGGTTTAAATTGGAATAAGGTGAGCTTCACTGTTAAGTTAGATTTTTATCCTTCATCCCACAGAGATGCAATCTGTGAGATTCTTAGAGGAAGATGATAAGGAGTTGGCCAGAGGCTGTTTTTAATGGTTTGTGCCAGACACATCATTTAATATGCATCCATTAAGTAGACAAGAAACGCCTTTCTGTCCTGTGGAGGGTGGAGCGGATCGCAGCCTGTCGACAGTCCATCACAAAGAGACAGACATGCTCACACTTAAAGGCAATCAAGAATCACCATTTAACCAACACACAGGAAGTTCTTCTTCTAGATGCAGGGCAACAGCTGCTTTTAATTAAATGTTGCTTTAAAAGCAAAAAAATAAAAGAAAGAAAAAGAGAAAAATAATAATAAAAAACATTTTAAAAATGATTAAAAAAAAGAAAATACATTTCAAAAATAAAAAATATTAAATTATTATTATATTTCTTCTTCTTTCTATTTCCATTTTCTTTTTTAAAATTCTTTTATTGGTTTATTTTTGTATTTTGGCACTCTCACTACTCCATCCATCGCTGTAGTTTAAATCATTTTCTAAGCAAAAATATAAAATATTTGACCAGATACAGCTTGTTAAAAGTGAGATACAACAAAAGAATGTTGATATAATTACGATTTTAGATGAGAACATGCACCTTAATTACCTACATTTATTTCTGATAAAATAAAAAGGATGCAGACTGTTAAAAAATAAAGCATTTAATTTGATTCTGAAAAGGAAATTTAGCATTTGAAATCTAAAACTTATTAAATGATAAACTGCAGAACTCGTACAGCTGATAATACTTGCAGCATTTAAAGCTCATTTTATTTGATTCTAAGAAATGTTCAGTCATGGTTATCACTTAAGAGTCATTGAGGAGAAGCTCAACATTTATCTCTTGCAGCCTGACAACCATCACTGATTAATATCTAACATAACAGTGGTCAAACAGTGGCTCATTTAGTCCACAAACCTGTCCTCAGACTGCTTTCACAGAACCAGATGAGAATTATTCTGCATGCATGAGCTTGCAAATAGTAGTCACTTCACATTTGAACAAGCCTCAGACAGCCAACATTACTGTGACTGGTTTACCAACAGTAACCAGCTGATGCAGGTAATCAGGCTGCCCGCATGCACAAAGCCTGAAGAATATGATGAGAACTTTTTAACCCAGATCTTGATGTTGCTTGAGCATATTGCTACAGCCGGGTCGTGCGATCTTGCAGAAAGTTTTCCCAGATCAGAGCAGGCTGTTAGAGCAGCAGAGAAACGCCCATGTATCAGATCGGACATGTTTAGCGCTGTCCACTTTCTCCAAGCTCAGACAAGCAATGACAAGTTATGTGGAAAAAGTAACACATGTGGAAATAAAAGCTAAATAACCTGCATGACATGTGTGTAAAAGTATAAAGTTCTACGCATCTGAGAGAAGCTGAAAAAATGTGGCCAATCAGCAAAGCAGAAGATCACCCTGATGTTCAACATTTTATTAGACACTTGTGTGTGCACATAAAATCTACTGTTCTGTTTGTTTTTTTACTTTGGATGACACATTCAGCCTTCAGTCGCTCTTTATAATCCACTGTGTTCTTCTTGCTCACAGCAGAGCAGGAAGGACCAGCGTAACAGTGTCAGCTCAGGTTTCTGCTCCATCAGACTCATGACGCCTCCGGGCTGCTCTCCTCCAGCAGCTCCATGAGCGCCTCCTGGTTGGAGAACTCCTGCAGCGAGGAGTTCATCTCGTCCAGCAGATCTTCTCCCAGCAGGAAGCTCTGGACGTCGTGCACCGTCATGCCGATCCGGTGGTCGGTTATTCTGTTCTGGGGAAAGTGGTAGGTTCGGATCTTCTCTGATCTGCCTCTGGTGCCAATCTGGAGGAGGAGGAGGAGGAGGAGAAAACGACTCAATTCATTCCACAACTTTTTAGCAAATAAAATGACGTACACATTTCATGGTGTAGAGCTTTTTATAGTGTCTAAGTCGCTCGTTAGGCTGGCTAACTGCATGTTACGTAATTCTGACTGTACGCAGTCCAACCCAGCATCCTACATCTTTTGACCAGTTGCCACACGTGTATTTTACATCACGTCTCCACCTGTAGTTTACATGTAACCGTGTGTCCCACCTGCACTTTGCGCTGGTTGTAGCGTTTGCTGGTCTCCTCCTCCAGCTTCATGCTGTACAGTTTTGCTCTGAGAACCTTCATGGCCGTCTCCTTGTTCTTCAGCTGGGACCGTTCCTGCTGACACTCTGCAACAACACCTGACAAACACACACAAGCACAACTTTTTATAAGGGTTTCCCACTAATTTGTGTTTATTTCATCACTGGTTTTACAAAAACAGAAACATGTAGACAGAAAGCACTCAAACTAACTCTGACAGTGTAACTCAACTTATCACTTTATAACTGAGACTATGCGTGCTTCACTTGTTGTTTTGCTCAAAGTGACCCAGATGCAGCTGACATCAAGTCATGAATTCGGGTCAGACATGGTTCCGGTTTCCTGTATTTATTTTTTTTTGAAATGATAAATACAAAAAAAAAAGTTATTTAAAGCCTATAAGTTAAGTAAATACCCTGTAAGGAGGCTTGAGCTGCATTTCCAGGGTTAGAAAAATGTAAAATTCCAAAACCCAGTTACACCTTTTCCACACATTTATGAAGTGCTGCTCCATTATGAACCATTTAGATTATTTGGAACAGGCCTGTTGAAGCCAAAACAAGTCCAGCAAAGGCAGATTAATACTGTATCAGTTTCAGAACAGACTAAAAGAAGCTCATGTTGGTTCATGTTTCACTGTTTAAAAAGCTAAACTTCAGTCTGCAGCAGCATCTTTTGTTTCTGGGTTTCACCTGTTGGCAGGTGGACGATTCTGACTGCGCTGTCCGTGGTGTTGACGTGTTGACCTCCGGCTCCACTCGCTCTCATCGTGTCTATCCTCAGGTCCTTCGGGTGTATCGTCAAAGAGATCTGACAAGAACACACACATGCTGTGGAGTTTACATGCACTGACAACAACAGCAGCTGAGAACAAGAACAAATCTACTTAACAAGTGTTGAAACAAATTTACAGCAAATGAGCTGAAACTTTAGTGGCGCCAACACAAAAGAATATTTTGGCTGTCAGTCTCTATGACTTTGAGAATTATTTCTATCCAACATATACTTTCAACAGGAAGATGCTCTTTAAGTGTTGATCTGCAATGATTCCTCCAGGGACACCAGGTTGACTGAGAAGATCAGCAGCCATCCATGTATCTTGTGCAGCCGTACCTCAGTGGGTTGGGGCAGTACAGCCACAGTCATGGTGCTGGTGTGCATCCGGCCCAGTTTTTCAGTCTTGGGGATCCTCTGAACTCGATGAACTCCAGCCTCAAACTTCATTATCTTGTAGCTCTGAGGGCCGCTGATGCTGGCCGAGGCGTTACGGAGTCCACCTGGTCACAGATGAGCAATAAGCGGTGATACTCAGCAAATAAATGACTCATAAAACAGGTGATTTCAGCTTCAACACGTGGATTCTCTGCACGATGTCAGTACAAACTGCAATGAGCTTTTTTTTAAGTTCACATCAAAGACAGGGCGTTGACCTTTTTGAAGTAATTTATTCTTAATATTTAGCAAAATTAACTGTAAAGGTTGGTTTGCTTTAAGTTAAAAAAAAGAAAGAAAGAAAGAAAGAAAGAAAGAAAGAAAGAAAGAAAGAAAGAAAGAAAGATTAAAGAAAAAACACAAATGGAGCCAGTCTTAGTTTTTCAGGTAGTGAGTGCATATTGTTTAATATGCTTTGGGTGAGTTGAGTCTTTAATATTGCACATAATGACGAATGGCAGGAGGTTTTGTTTTAGATGTAAAATCAAAACTGTTAAATTGTTCTCATCTTTTTCTGACAGTATTTAGGGGAACATCACAGTGACCAGTCTGACCGTGTGCAGGAGAGAAAGGATTCCCCCTTGTGTCTAAAGTCAGTTATTACAATATTGGCTGTGACGTAAAAAAAAAAAAAAAAAAGAAACCGCAAGGCTTTGCATTCTTTGAGATAAGTGGCTCCATTAATCATTGTTCCACCGACATTATTCCAGTAATTAGCTCATAAACAATCACTTGTCGTCCAGCCCATGGTAATGAATTCCCTCTTTACTAGCAGAGATCTGTAACTGTTTTTCTACATACACTAGAGTAAATGCCATTTCCTTAGTCTTTCTACTTATGTACAATAATAACAATAGTATTACTTTTCATACAAAAACAGTGCAAAACCACTGATATGTGCAATAATGTTACTTTTTAGAACTAGCACTTGTGTATATTTTTATTGTTATACTATATTTCTTAAATGTTTGCACTATCTTTGCTGCTGTAACATTGCAAATGTCCTCACAAAGGGTTATCTTATCTCTTATCTTAACAACATAAAATCCAGACCACTGTTTAACT